CATCTCCTGAAGACCTGCTCTGCACTCTCTGGTAAAATGCTGTTCTGTACCACAGGGGAAACTTCTAGTGGCTTCTATAACTGTGGCTTAAGGAGTAGCCTGGTAAGATAGATGGTTAGCCTGGAAATTGTTTTTTTTTTTCTCTCTCTTTTTTTTTTTTTGTGTCAATCTAAGAGCAAAGGAAGCAGGCGCTGTTTCCAAAATGATTTATCCCAACAACAATCCTAAGCCTCACAGGGAGTCTCCTGGGATAGGTCCCTGGGTTCAGAAGTTTATAGAAAACTATTCCAAATTCCTTCTGTTCTTTCTTTCGGTGATGACTTCACTTAGCCTTGACAGTAATAAAGAAACTTCTTTAAGAAAACACAACATTGAGAGGAAAAACTGGACTTGGATAATAGCTCAGTCTTACCATATTTCAGTTGGAAATATTACCATACAAACAATGTCAGGCATTTTTTTTCTTACTTCACAGGAGACAGGCCGTTTGTGAGAATCTAAAAGAGGACCATTTCTGAGGGAGACACTGTTGTTTCAATAGTGGGTCTTCAGAAATACCCTAGTTTCCCACAAGTCCTCGTTGTTAAAATTCATCTACCTCCACTGGAAAATTCCAGGCACCAGCAAACTAACTTGCATTATAACACGAAGCATCATTTGCCCGCACGTTTTCATCGGATAACCCTTCCTCACGTGACGCACTATTACACATATATAAACACATATGCTCTCCCATTCTCGCCCTAAAGTCAGATTAACGGGAGATTTGCATTGGCACGCATACAAGCGAAATGTTTCCAAAGTTATTCTTGATGAGTTGCACTCTTGGGTTTTTTTTTTTTTTGGTTGGTTTTTGTTTTTGTTTTTGAGACAGGGTCTCACTCTGTAGCCCTAGCTGTCCTAGAACTCACTATGTAGACCAGGCTGGCCTCAAACTCAGAGATCCTCTTGCCTCTGCCTCCTGAGCGCTGGGATTAAAGGCCACCTCCCTACCTCTTGGCCACTTCTTTTGCTTTTGTGTTTTTTTTCCATTTTTAAATGCATCTATTTATTTTTACATCCCAGCTCAGTCTTCTTCCCTATCCCCCCCCTTCCAACCCCCTCAATCCCCTCCTCTTCCATCTCCACCACGGAAAGGGCAGGTCTCCTATGAGCACCAATAAAGCGTGGTATATCGAGTTGCAGTGAGACTAAGCACCTCCCCGTGTGTGAAGGCTGGGCAAGGAGACTCAGTATGAGAAGCAGGGTTCCAAAAGCCAGAAAAAGAGTCGGAGACAGCCCCTGTTCCCACCGTGAGGAGTCCCACAAGAGGACCAAGCTACACAACTGTAACGTATATGCAGAGTGTTTAGGCCGGTTTCATACAGACTCCCCCGGTTGTGGGTTCAGTCTCTGAGTCCCTAGGAGCCCCGGTTAGGTGACTGTGTGAGTCTCCCTGTGGGGTCCTTGACCCCTCTGGCTCCTCCACTCCTTTCTCCTCCTCCTCCACAGGATTCCTGATCTCCACCTAATGCTTTTGGTTGTGGGTCTCTGCGTCTGCCTCCATCAGTTACTGGACCACACTTCTTTGATGACAAATGGGCCAGGCACCAATCTGGTTACAGGAGGCCAGTGCATAAATCAAGGTTAAGTATCCACTATTGCTAAGAGTCTAAGCTGGGATGCTCCCCCCATAGACTTCTGGGAGATTCCCCTGCTTCAGGGCTTCAGCTCAACCCTTAAATGCTCCCCCAGCAGTCCCCCTCAGCACCCTCCCCCTCCACACACCCCTAACCTTATGTATCATGTTCCCATCCCCACCTGCCCTCAGTCCACTCACGAAATCTCTTCTATTTCCCCTTCCCAGGGAGATCTGGGTGCTTCCTTGAACCTTCCTTGCTACCTAGTCTCTCTGGGTCTGTGGATTGTAGCATAGGCATCCTTTGTTTTACAGTTAATACCCACTTATGAGTACAATCCATGTTTGTCTTTCTCAGTATGGGTTATCTCACTCAGGATGACTTTTTCTTTTCTACTCATGTGTCTTCAAATTTCCTGGCTTCCTTGTTTGTAATAGCCGAATAGTACTCCGTTGTGTAAATGTACCACGTTTTGTTTATCCATTCCTGAGTTGAGGGACAACTAGGTTGTTTTCAGATTCTGGCTATTATAAATAAAACTGCTATGAACATAGTTCAGCAAGTGTCCCTGTGGTATGATGGAGCAGCCTTTGCGTATCTGCCCAAGAGAGGTAAAGCTGGGTCTTGAGGTAGATTGATTCCCAGTTTTCTGATAACCCACCACATTGACTTCCAAAGTGTCTGTGCAAGTTTGCACCCCACCAACAACGGAGGAGTGTTCCCCTTGCTCCGCATCCTCTACAGCACAGGCTGTCACTTGTATTTTTGATCCTAGCTATTCTGACAGGTGTAAGATGGCATCTCAGAGTCGTTTTGATTTGCATTTCCCTGATGGCTAAGGATGTTGAGCATCTCCTTAAGTGTCTCTCAGCCATTTGAGATTCGTCTGTTGAGAATTCTCTGTTTGGATCTGCTCCGCATTTTTAATTGGATTATTTGGTTTTTTGATATCTAGTTCTTTGAGCTCTTTACATAATTTGGAAATCAGCCCCCTGTCAGATGTGGGGTTGGTGAAAATCTTTTCCCATTCTGTAGGCTGCTGTTTTGTCCTATTGATGGTGTCCTTTGCCTTATAAAAACTTTTCAGTTTCATGAGGGCCCATTTATTAATTGTTGATCTTAGTGCCTATGCTATGAGTGTTCTGTTCAGGAAGTTGTCTCCTGTGCCAATGCATTTGAGATTATTTCCCACTTCCTCTTCTATCAGGTTCGGTGTGTCTGGATTTACTTTGAGGCCTTTGATCCACTTTGCCTTGAGTTTTGTGCAAGGTGATAAATATGGATCAATTTGCATTCTTCTGCATGCCAGCATTCAGTTGGATCAATGCCATTTGTTGAAAATGCTTTCTTTTTTTTCAATTGTGTAATTTTGGCTTTGTCAAAAAATCAAGTGTCCACAGGTGTGTGGATTTATATTCCATCAATCCACATGTGTTTTTTCCCCAATGTCATGTGGTTTTTATTACTATAGCTCTGTAGTAGAGTTTGAAATCAGGGATAGGGATACCACCCAAAGTTATTTTACTGTACAGGATTGTTTTAGCTAGTCTGAATTATTTTTGTTTTTCCATATGAAGTTGAGTATTGTTCTTTCAAGGTCTGTAAAGAATCATGTGTTGGGATCTTAACAGGGATTGCATTGAATCTGTAGATTGCTTTTGGGTACGATTTTTACTGTGTTAATCCTACCAATCCATGAGCATGAGAGATCTCTCCATCTTCTGAATTCTTCAGTTTCTTTCTTCAAAGACTTGAAGTTCTTGTCATATAGATCCCAAGGACAGCCTGGACTCATCATAATGTCATATTATCATGAAATCTGCATCAGCACCCACACAAATGAATGTTATCAAAGCCGTTCTTGATGAGTTACACTTTTTTGGGGGGCACAGGGTTTCTCTGTGTAGCCTTGGCTGTCCTGGAACTCGTTCTGTAGACCAGGCTGGCCTCGAACTCAGAGATCCTCTTGCCTTTGCCGCCTGAGTGTTGGGATTAAAGGTGTGTGCCACCACCACCTGGCCCCTTGACTTGAACTTGCTATATATCCAAAGACGGCTTTGGATTTCTGATCCTCCTGCCTCCATCTCCCTAGTGCTGGGATGCTTGGCATGCACCATCACCATGCCGGGTTTATGTCGTGCTGGGGATCGGACCCAAGGCCTGTGCACACCAGACATAACGCACCATCAACCGGGCTATCTCTCTCACCTAAAGCGAATTGCTTGTTTCTTTTGAATTTGGCTCTTCCTAACCAAATTACCAGGCAGAAAAATGATTAGTCACACCGGCAGTTTTGGAAAAAAAAATCAGATGGTGCACTGCAGTAAATCTGGAAGAGGAGAAGTGGCTTCGGATGACGCGATTGCAATAAGCGAGACGGCAGCGCCAAGCAGGGTGGCGCGTGCGCTCCCGTAATGCATGCACCTGGGAGCAGAGGCGGGAGGACTGCACGTTCCTCGCCAGCCTGTGCTGCATACCCACTCCGGAGCAGCTCACGCTGCACAACGAAACACTGCAAAAGCAGCAGCAACCACAGCAACATCAAAAAACAGCACCACAGCACCAGGGAGCCGGCTGGACACGGCTCAGCAGACAAAGGCCTTTGCTGCTCTTCTAGAGGACCTGAGTTTGGTTCCCAGAACCCACATCGGGCAGCTCGCAACTACTGCAACTCCAGCTCCAGGGGATCCGGTGGCCTGTGTGGGTAAGCAAATGGAAACAAAAAAACAACACAACATAAGACAAGACAGTAAATGAGACCAGGACCGTGGAAGGTGAGGCTTCGAGGTGAGTGGATACGGACCCCGAGGGCCCCCCCAGCGCGGCTTCCAGATTGCGAGGGTTTCACCTTCTAGAGGATGTCTGGCTGCCAAGGCTGAAACACAGCATTACTTACCACGCTGCACGGACCATACTCCTTAGCGGTAACCATTTAGAAGGGGGTGGAAAAGCCGTGCTGACAACATTCAATTATGTATGTAAGGCTGGCCTGGGCTTGGGAGAACAATTGCCAGTGTTGTGCTGGGGAGATGACTCAATGGGTAAGAGAGAGAACCAACCCCACAGACTTGTGGGAGTCACCTGACTTCCACAGAGGCACTGGGGCGCGTGCTGTGCTGCCAGAACCCGCCCGCCCCCCCCCAAAATAACAAACGAAATTACGAAGAACATCCGTCCCAGGGAAAGCAAGCATCCACCAGTCACCAGTGAGATGACTTAGCGGGCAAAGGCACTTTTGAGATATTGTCTCACGGAGCCCAGGCTGCCTTCCAGCTCACCATGTAGACAAGGATGTCCCCGAACCTCTGATTCTCCATCACTGAGTTCTGGGATCACGGGCATGCTGCCTGTTTTTATGCGGTACCCGGGGGGGGGGCGGGGGGATCACACAGGGCTTTGTGCACACTAGGCAAGTGGTCTGCTAGCTGAGCTAACGTCCCAGCCAGCATATCGGCTGTCACGCACCCTGCAGAGCCCTTGCCTGCCCATCCCCCAGCCAGTGACACTGTAGAGAAGTAAAACGAGACCTTTGCTGGGAAAGTTTGTTTTTTTTTTTTACAGTAAAAGCATTCCCAGAGTTACAAGGTGACTCACAGTGAAATGTTCTTCTGAAAAAAAAAAAACACTTTCAAATGATTATTAATACATTCAGTTGTTTGGCATATTTGTAAGCCAGGTTCCTTCATAAACAATGGAGAAAAATCAGTAAACACTAGGAAAGCAGATATCTCCACTGGTACGGACTTTATAGTTCCTTAGCCAAGACATATAGGAAAGGGAGTGTTTTATCTCACACCTTTTATACCTCTTTATTCACACGTGTGCATGCCTGCATGAGTGTGGTCGCGTGTGTCACAGAGCACATGGAGTGGTCAGAGACAATCTGAGGGAATCCATTGTCTCCTTTCACCGCATGGGATCCGGGAACAAATTCCGGTCAGCAGTCTTTTGTGACGGGTGCCTTTAACCCACAGAACCATCTTGCTATCCCAGGGCTGCAGTTTTAAACAGGAAAGCACAGCGGATTGCTATACTAGTGTGGACCCAGTGTGGCCCCCTAGGCTGGGCGTAGTGGCAAATGCCTTAATGCTAGTCCTAGGAACGCAGAAGCAGGCAGGTCTCTTGTGAGTTCCAGGACAGCCATGGTTACGTGGTGAGACCCTATCTCAATAAACAACAAACTTGTACCCCCTGATAAATGACATGTCCCTCTGTCCCTCTAGCAATGGACTTTGCTGTCAAAAAAACCCTGAAGCATCTTGAAGGTTCTATGCTCTGAATTGAAACATTCATGTTGTTATGCAGGGGAATTAGGGTCAGCACAGGTGTGTCCAGCCTTTTGGCTTCTCTAGGCTACACTGGATGAAGAATTGTCTTGGGCCACACAGGAGTGGGTAACTTTGACCCATGGGTTTGGTAGCAGCACAAACGTCTTTGTTTCGCTATCCTGGGCCACAGGCATGGGTTAACCTCAGCAAAGACGCACTTAACAAAGGAGGCTGCCAACAGCAGTATGAAGGTAAGTTCACATGAAGGAGAACCTGGCTTGGTTTCCGGGCAGTTCCAAGAACCCCAGCTTGTCACAAGCTTTCTTGCCAGACCATCTTTGGATCGCCAGCCCCCAAATATTGACACGGAGACTTGATAATTATGAAATCTTGGCCTATACCTTAGGCTTGTTCCCAACTAGTTCTTAATAACTTAGACGAACCCATTTCTATCGATCTGTGTTTTACCATGCGGTTTTTTACCATTCATTCCGTGTGTCTGGCTCCCTCTGAATCTCACTGGCATCCCTCTGTGCCTTGACTGTCTTTTCCTACTTCCTCTCTCTCTGCCTGGAAGTCCCACCTGTACATTCTGCCTAGCTACTGGCCGTGCAGCTCTTTAATAAACCAGTCATAACAGTATGTCTTCACACGGGGTACAAACTTCCCACAACACCAGCTGGCCCAGAGCATTGTGAGAAATGTCTGTGTTTCAGAGAGGACCAGAGAAGGGAAAGACTCTTTGAGTAAAACGCTTTTTTTGGTGTGAGGCAGGGTCTCACGGAGGCCAGGCCACGCTATGTAGTGAAGGATGTCCTCCTGCCTCTACCTCCAGAGCGCTGGGATGCAGGACCTCTGCCGCCGGGTCCAGCTTGATAAGGTGGTAGTTAAACAACTTGAAGGAAGCTGCCGTGGATGGATATTTTGAAGCTCTGACTCCCATCTTTGTTCAGTTGGGAGATGGGAAGGAAGTAATTTAAGTTGGATACGGTGGTAAGGAAAAGGGATTGACCTGTGTGTGTGTGGGGGGGGATTAATGTACTTAACCATTGGACTGGAGAGATGGGTCAGGGATTAAGAGCACTGGTATTCTTATAGAGGACCCAGGCTTGGCTATCAGCAACCTGGTTTATAACCATCCGTAACTCCAGTTTCAGGAGCTTTGACACCCTCTTCTGGCAGGCACACATGTGGGACGCAGACAAAATGCCCCATACATATAAAATAAACATTTTAAAAAACATTAAAAAGGAAAGAAAGACAAGCTTATAGCACCCTTTTTCCCGCTCACTCCAAAGCACCCAGCTAGGAAAGGACGAGTTGAGACACAGCAAAGGAGCTGACTGCAAGCCAAGCTGAGCTGGGACAACAGCCCTTTCCAGAAATCGCACTTGCGGAGCACTGGCCTCAGACTTCCCAGCTTCCAGAACATCAAGAAAGTGAACTCCCTACTTTAGGCCACACAGTCAATGGTATTTGCCCTGGCAACCTAAGCTGACAGAGACAGGAGCCGTGCAGATATCCAGGAGCGCTCCGGAGAGGGGACCAGCTGGGGAAAAGACCCCGGAGTGCAGACATGTTGGAGCATGAATAAGGAGGGGTTTGGGTGGGAGGTCAGGGGTCATGCAGGTTAGGGGCCAGGCCAGCGAAGGACCTTGCCTTTTACACCGGATTCAGAGGGAAGTCAGCAGGGAGTTCTGAGGGGTGGAGTGACAAGTTTCCAAATGACACGCATTTCTGTAATATTTGACTTTTGTGTAACTATGAACATGTGTTGCTCTTGTAATCAGGAAAAAGGCCATCGGAACCCCGGAAAAGCTACATCAGAAGAGCAAACAAGTACAAGCTGTGAACCCCAGTGCCAGCATGTGGGGGAGGGGAAGGAGCGGCTGGAGGAAGGGCGGATATCGTGGAGAGAAGCTGAAACTGTTCAGACGCTGGGGTCCCTGCAGCTCGCCACCCTCGGAGTCTATGGGCATAGGGACTCGTCCTGCTGTCTGGCTTTGTGTCCCCACTGGTTACTAAACGCCGGCGGCTTGGCGTCTGCCTGAAGAGTGGGCGAGAGCTGAAAGCATAACATGGTTCTAGCTGGGGACCAAGGCCACCTGACTCCTGCCTGGACTTCTTAAAAGTCACTTCATTCATTCAGAGGTGTGTGTGCATGCATGAATGTGTGTGCATGTATGTATGTGTGTATGTATGTGTGTATGTATGTGTGTGTATGCATGCATGTACGTATGTGTGTGTGCATGCATGTACGTATGTGTGTGTGCGTGCATGTATGTGTATGCATGTACGTATATGTGTTTGCCATGCTGCACGTGAGGAGGTCAGACTACATAATCCATGGGGCTCAGTTCTTCTCATCACCATGTGAACCCAATGGTTTGAACTCAGGTCTCCAAACTTAGCAGCAAGTGTCTGCCTTCACCTGCTGAGAAATCTTGTTGGCCCGCCTTCCTGGTTCCTGTGCTGTCGTTCAATGGACATAAAGAAATGTCTGAGGAGCTAGAGGGGAAGTTCAGCTGGTAAAGTGCTTGTCTTGCGCATGTAAGGACCCTAAGGACGCAAGTTTAATCTCTGGGACCCGCATGGTAGAAAGAGAGAAGTTGGAAGCTGCCCTTTGACCTCCACACATGCGCTGTTGTGCGTGTACGCAGACACACACACCGCACTGCAGAAAAACATGTAATTTTAATGGTCTGAGGACACTATGAGACCCTCAGTTGGCACGCAATAGGAGCACTGGAGACTCACAGTGGCCTGGGCCCCAGTCTAGGGTGGCAGGTGCGTTGACCCAAGCAGAGGGCAGTCCCCGTGAACAACACGCGTCCCTGCCTCCCTTTCTAAGCAGTCAGGGGGTGGGGCACAGTCTGAAAGTCGTCTCAGTGTGACTGTACTTATGTTTCCTTTTCTCAACAAATGCAGTGTGTGTGGGTTCCTCTCTCTCTTTCCACATCCTGTTAGCTTTAACGTTATCAGAGGCATGATCTCGCAGGCAAGCTTGGCTGTTAGTAATTTTCTACCCTAAACTTCTAGTTTGGGTTGGGGGCTTAATTTAGTAGCGGTTGGGTTGGGGGGGGCAAGGGGGATGCCTAGACTAGCAGGCAGGGGTCTAGACTTTTCTGTCCATCTTTCCCGAACCTAAACTAGCTCAAGGCACTGTTGAAAAGGAGCTCTCAGATTCCAGTCCTTGCAGGAACAATAATGGGGGAGACGACACCCAAGGCTGGCCTCCGCGTGCACCCAGGAGCTCGTACACATGAGGTATAAAAACCCAAGAAACGAATGAACTGGGGTTAAGGGCTGAGTTGGCAGAGCCTTTGCCCAGAATGCAGGAAGTCCTGGGTTCAATTCCCAGCACTCCGTGAGTTCAAGGCCAGCCTGGTGTTCAGAGTGAGTTCCAGGACGGCCAAGGGTTACACAGAGAGACCCTGTCTCAAAAAACCAAAATAATAATAGTAATAACAACAACAACAATAAAGTTCATGGTCATCCTCCACTACACAACAAGTTCAAGGCCAGCCTGGGATACACGGGACTCTGTCTCCGAAAGAAAATAGTAAGCTGGGTGCTGTGTGCGCGCCTTTAATCCCAGTACTCGAGAGACAGAAGCAGGTGGATCTCTGTGAGTTCCAGGCCAGCCTGGTCTACATAGAGAAACCCTGAACCCCTAAAGAATCAAAATAGTAATACTAACAACAATAATAATATAATAATAAAGAACAAAGAAAATGCTGGAAGGAGAAGAAGGGGGAAGATGAATGAATGGATAGTCCCGACAAGCCCCCTTATTCTCTTCACCTCTCTCCCCATTCCTACCTCCTTTGCTGACACAACCGACTTCTAAAGGAACCTATAAAACAAGCAGTAGGTGGAACAGCGGGTCGATAGTTGTATAAGATGACACTGTGTTCATCGAACGGCCTGCTCACAGTCTTAAAATATAGCAAGTTAGACTGGAACTCCACAGTGGAGACTTTACATTTTTCTCAGACAGCCGCTTCTAAGTGTGGAGTGGGAGGTCAGAGTGCAAAGGTCAGGTGGTGTGGGCGGTGCTCTCTTGAAAGAGGGGTTCACTCCCTTCCTTTGGTAGACAACGTGTAGGCTCCCTCAGCAATGAGCACCTCCTAGATTATAGGTAGATTACCTACACCCTGACAGAGATCTTCTCAGTTTTCTATTCTGCGAGCCTGAGATTTTTATGGATCTCCTAGTTTTCAAATAGGGTGCACATGCACACACAGGCACCTATACACACCACATATGCACACTCACACAGAACAGACACACACACGTGCACACGCACACGTGTGCGCGCACTGACATACCACATATGCATACTCACACAGACACACACAGACCAGACACACACACACACACACACACACACACACACACCTGATACAACAGCCCAAGGAAATGTTCTTTGCAGCTGTTCTTTAGAAATATGTCTTGGGGCCTTTGGCCAGATGGGCCATTGGGCCTGACCCAAGTTTGGAGTACTAATTAGGAATAATCATAACCAACTAAAGAGGGTTCTTAACATTTCGGCGTGTGATGGCCCCGGTGTGCTAAATGAAGCAAACAAACCGATAACTGTGTGAACAAGGCAGCGTCAGGCCTTGCCGGCCAGTGCGAGCCCCCTTACCTCTACGACAGCCCTAAGTGCCAGCCTCCTTGTTTTCAGGTCTGTCTTTACTTTTGCTAAGTAGACACAAATGCTAAGTGTTTCAGAAACATCTCCCGTGAAAGGGCAGGCGGCTGTGCTGTTGGGAAGAGGCTGCTTATTCACAAGGAATAAAGTCTGAGGTCGAGAATATGAATTTAGGAACTCAGTAGGAGCAGGGCACCTTCGTACCCGCCGTGATCGCCAAAGCACGCACAGTGTTTGCACGCTTTTCACGCTGGCCGGTGGAAGAAGCTACCCTGGAGGATGTGTCATTGGCTAATTTTATTCTGCAAATGGTAGAGCAACTGTTTACAGTATTTGAAAATGTTCCCACCCTTTTCTTGGCTTCTTTGGTGCTCATTCTTTTGGTCTTGGTCACTACTGACTCTAATTTTAGTCCTGACAATTGGAGGAGCCTCCTGCTAACAGTGACTGTGTGTGAGATGAGCTGTGCTATCTTCTGAAAGCTGTTCTCGAGTTTATATGGAGGCCAAAGATCCCACCACAGACACACATATGCAGACACATGCACACACACATGCACGTATACACATGTACATGCACACACACAGGCAAGCGCTCACACATACATACATATGCACACACATGCACGTATACACACATGCACACACATGTACACACATGCAGACACATGCACGTATGCACACGCACATGCACACACACAGGCATGCACGCACGCACGCACACTGACACACCACAAACCTCCTTGAGGCTCTGAAATTCACATCTGACAGGAGTGCACACTGGTCCTCCAGGGGTGAGAACTGCGTTAATCTCTTCAGCTCCCTTCTGTCTCTAGTTTGTCCCGAGGAAACCGGCTCCTTCCTCTGCACAAACCACAAATACCTGCCTTCTTGTCTGGTCCCAGATGGCGACCACGGTGGCTGTCCAGAAGCAAGGAAAGCAAGCCAGGGAATAAAGGTCAGCACCATGCAGCTGCCTGGTGCCGCCCGGGTTGTAACAGCCCGGGAATCCACCCCTGAAATGTCAATGCTGGACAGAAACGTCACATCTGCCCGAGGGCCCCCGCAGTGTCCCGCCCCCCCCCCCCCAGTGTCCCAGTGTTTTCATGACCCAGCTCTCCGGGTCTGCAGAATGCCACCCTCCCCACTAACTCTACATCAAAGGGTTCCCATGGAGTGTCCTCACTTCTGAGTAGGTGACCGTGAGTAAGGACGGGCACGCCTTTAACATTTAGTGAGGGAACATAATTACATGACCTTGGGTGGGTTGCCCTTTCCTAACAAGTTGCAGCATGGAGGGCAGATGTGGAGGCACATCAAAAAGAAAAAAAAAAAATCTCTGATGCTAAACAATGAGCGACTCCCAGCTCGGGGCATGTTTAAGTCCCGGACGTCAACACAGATTTCAAACGGCTTTTGGAACTGACAGACAGACAGACAGAACACCAGTCCTGTGCCTCTGTAGTTCATGGAGTAAAAGTGCTTTGTAGACACTCCTGTCCTGCTTTGGACAGATTGCCTGAGCTCAGTCTCCTCAACCGGGAGATGGGCAGAATCCTTCCTGAGCCTGTAAAATGCAGCTCTCACCTCAAATGGAATGAGAAATAGCTCATTCCGAGGGCAAACCAGTGTGACTGCGTGACTCAGGGACAAGGATTCGGCTCGTCCAGTGCAAAACAGTTTTTATAAGCTTTAGTTACAAAACAAAAGAAAGTCAGGAATCAAGGCTTTCACCACACACAACCGTGGGAGCACTAGGCATGTGGGTTACAGCGGAAACAGGGGTTTAGTTTCTAAGATTTTACTATTGCCCGTGTGTAACGCAGGGTGTGGTATATGCAAATAGGTATGCATGTACCTTCCGTACCTGCAAAGGCCAAAAAATACACTTCTACCAAGCTTTACCTTATTCATGTAAGACAGGGTCTCTCGCTAAATCTGGGGCGAGGCTGGGGTCAGCAAGTCCTACAACCCTCCTGTCTCTGCTCCCAGTCTTTCCTGTAACCATGCTCAACTCTGTACATGGCTTCTGGAGACTTGGACTTAAGTCATTGTTTTTGTCTGTGAAATCAGCACCCTTGCCTACAGAGCCCTCCACTAGGGGACTTAACATGCTACCTGGTGACATCCTTAACTTTGGGGTTGGTGGAAGCCAGAGACCTACTAAAGATACATTCCAAAGGTTTTGATAGGATGCTAGTTCAGACATAGAAGTGGGAAATAGGTAGCTATTAAGACTAAAGACACTGGCCCTGTGGTGGTGGCACACGCCTTTAAGCCCAGCACTTGGGAGGCAGAGGCAGGCAGATCTCTAAGTTCGAGGCCAGCCTGGTCTACAAAGTGAGTTCCAGGACAGTCATACACCCCTTCTCAAGAAACCAGAACAAATACATTATTTAATTAAAATAAAACAAACAAACAGAGACTAAAGACAGCCCAAAACA